AATCATTCAGAACATTGACAATATGTATCGTTAAACTTTACATTGACAAAAGAAAGACCTGATTAAAAATTATACACAAAATACATTATTTTATATAAGGTCCATGGGCTGGGAAGTTATATTATTTGTAACTCATTAATGTGTGACGAATGTTCCTCGGAAAACGTACTGAGATGAAAGGAACCTCTATTTCATTACCATAAAGTGAGTGATTGGTGCTATGTGGGCCATTGAAAAAAGTGAAATGATAGTTTCTTTATAAATTAGATAAAGAAGAAGATTAGATTGGTGTTTATTCTCAATCCGTGTAAGTCTGTTTTTTTTCCCTCTGCCACGCAAGGCTGCTCTACTGGCTTCTGCTTGAATTAAAGATTCATTTTCAAGCTTAGCACAAAATACTACTCATGAGTCATTTTAAAAGATGTGGGGACTAACGGGATGAGAGACAGTAAATTGATTGGGAATTGATTCTTCATCTCTGTACTAAGTTTGCCACACATGCTGAAAACCTAAAGATATGACTGATGGACTGCCACACTGTGTCCATTGGGTAACTTTTCCTGATGACACATCTAGAGCTGTCTAAAAACTGAAGGCACACCTGCAGTGTAGACAAGCTTCAGCCCCAGGGCCCCTCTGCTCCTTCACCTTTCTTTCGGTCCATCATCCATCAACCCAAGTAGATTGACTAACTTGGTTATAAGGCAAAAAAAGAAATGAGATCACAACCCTCAAGCTTTGGAGCTCTACAGATGGAAAAAACAAAGAATTGAGACCTGAATCATAACAAACTAAGATGAAATGGTACTCAGTGGTTAACCCTTTCATGTTACATTTTCACATTATATTATATGATTCATTTAAAGTTTAATCTGTAGTAAAAGTGGGATTATAATACATTCCAAAAGGGTCATTTTTTTTTGGACTATATCTTATATATTATATAAATGCAAGCATATATTAATTCTAATGAGCTTCCAGTTATGAGGGTGACCAGAGAAATAGCTTTAAACACCACTCTCTCCTGCTGTATCACCAGCCTTTCATGCTGGAAAATGTGTAAACAGCTCACAGCTGGAAGACTCCTTTGCAATATCTTATTGTGGAAAATGTGTTATACCCCATGTAAAGAGAGAATAGTAAACAAACATATTATTGGGAAAATAGCAATATCCTGTGTACTTTCGGAGCAGAGGTTCTACCGGTATATCCTTTTGTGGCAGTACACTGATCAGCCACAACATTAAAACCACCTGCCTAATATTGTGTAAGTCCTCTTTGTGCTGCCAAAATAGCTCTGCTGCATTGAGACATGGGCTCCACAAGAACTCTGAACATGTTATGTGGTATCTGGCACCCAGACATTAGCAACAGATTCTTTAAATCCTGCAGGTTGCAAGGTGTGGCCTCCATTGATCAGATTTGTGGTTCCAGCACATCCCACAGATGCCCAATTGAATTGAGATGTGGGGAATTTGGAGGCCAAAGCAATACATTTTGTCATGGCCCTCAAACCATTTCCGAACACTTTTTGCAGTGTGACAGGGTGCATTATCCTGCTGAAATTTGCCACTGCCATCAGCAACACCATTACCATGAAGGGGTGCACATGGTCTGCAATAATCTCTAGGTAGGTGGTACATGTCAAAATTGCATCCAAATTAATGCCAGGACCCAAAGTTTCCCAGGAGAACATTGCCCAGAGCATAACACTGTCTCTGCCGGCTTGCCTTCTTTTCATATTGCATCTTGCTTCCATTTCTTCCCCTGGTAAACAACACACACCCACTTGGCTATCCACCTTATCCAAAAGGAAATATGATTCATCAGACCATGCAGCCTTTTTCCATTGCTCCATGGTCCAGTTATGATGCTCATGTCCCCACTGGAGGTAATTTTGGCAGTGGTCACTGGTCATTATGAACACTCTGACCGGTCTGTGGCTGTGCAGCTCCATATGAATCAAACCGCGATGCACTGTGTGTTATGACACCTTTTTATCATGGCCAGCTTCAATGAGCCTTGTGCATCTATGACCCTGACACCGGTTTACCAGTTGTCCTTCCTTGCACCAATTTCGGTAGGTACTAATCACTGCATGCAGGGAACACCCCACAAGACTTGCCGTTTTGGAGGTGCTCTGACCAATTTGTCTAGCTATCACTGTTTGGCCCTTGCCAAAATCACTCAGATGTTTTTGCTTGCAACTTTTTACTGCTTCCATTACATAAAATTCAAGAACTGACTGTTCACTTGCTGTCTAATACATCCCACCTCTTGATAGGTGCCATTGTAACAATAAAAATCAATGTTATTCACTTCACATGTCAGTGGTTTCAATGTTGTGGCTCATCAGTATATATCTGCAATAGGGAAAGAGTAGATTGCCTTCACATAAGATTCAGTTCTGTAATATATCATTACTGTTTTATTTACATTTGAGCTATTGATATACACTGAACAAAATAATAAATGCAACACTTTTGTTTATGCCCCCATTTTTCATGAGCTGAACTCAAAGAGCCAAGACTTTTTCTATGTACACAAAAAGCCTATTTCTCTCAAATATTGTTCACAAATCTGTCTAAATCTGTGTTAGTGAGCACTATTCCTTTGCCGAGATACTACATCCACCTCACAGGTGTGGCATGTCAAGATGCTGATTAGACAGCATGATTATGCCTTAGATGTGCCTTAGGCTGGCCACAATAAAAGGCTGGCCACTCTAAAATGTGCAGTTTTACTGTATTGCAGGGATCCGGGGAGGGATCCGGGGGGTCCAAAAGCAAGTCAGTATCTGGTGTGACCACCATTTGCCTCAAGCAGTGCAACACATCTCCTTCGCATAGAGTTGATCAGGTTGTCGATTGTGGCCTGTGGAATGTTGGTCCACTCCTCTTCAATGGCTGTGCAAAGTTGCTGGATATTGGCAGGACCTGGAACACACTGTCGTATACGCCGATCCAGAGCATCCCAAACATGCTCAATGGGTGACGTGTCGAGTGAGTAGGCTGGCTATGCAAGAACTGGGATGTTTTCAGCTTCCAGAAATTGTGTATAGATCCTTGCAACACGGGGCTGTGCATTATCATGTTGCAACATGAGGTGATGGTCGTCGATGAATGGCACAACAATGGGCCTCAGGATCTCGTCACGGTATCTCTGTGCATTCAAAATGCCATCAATAAAATGCGCCTGTGTTCCTTGTCCATAACATACACCGGCCCATATCATAACCCGATCCACAATGATGACATCACCAAACCGCTCACCCACACAACGCCATACACGCTGTCTGCCATCTGTCCTCTACAGTGAAAAACGGGATTCATCTGTGAAGAGAACACCTCCCCAAAGTGCCAGACGCCATTGAATGTGAGCATTTTCCCACTCAAGTCTGTTACGACGACGAACTGCAGTCAGGTGGAAACCCCGATGAGAACGATGAGCATGCAGATGAGTTTTCCTGAGACGATTTCTGACAGTTTGTGCAGACATTCTTTGGTTATGCAAACCAATTGTTGCAGCAGCTGTCCGGGTGGCTGGTCTCAGACGATCTTGGGGGTGAAGATGCTGGATGTGGAGGTCCTGGGCTGGTGTGGTTACACGTGGTTTGTGGTTGTGAGGCTGGTTGGATGTACTGCCATATTCTCTGAAACGCCTTTGGAGACGGCTATTGGTAGAGAAATGAACGTTCAATTCATGGGAAACAGTTCTGGTGGACATTCCTGCAGTCAGCATGCCAATTGCAAGCTCCCTCAAAACCCCAACTACCCCAGCTCAACAACTGCTATAGAAAGCATCCCCACCCCTGTATCAGCAGAAGCAGAGACATCCCTTCATTCCCATGTATACCTGTGTGATTTCGCCCCATCTCCCTCTAAACTGAGCAACCCCAGTCCTTGATGGCTTCAGGTCAAGGCTGGTCCCAACCTCCGGGAGGACGGTATGCAAGTGTCCAACTCAGAATTGCAGGCGAAACAACGGTCCCCCCTAGAACAGAAAATCCCCGCCAAGATGGTGTAACCCGCTCCTCTCTACCCCACCAATAAACAAAAATAGGGTATCCCCTCCCAAATCAAGAAGTTCCCAAGGTGAGCCATTAGTAAGCCATGGTCCCAGAGTCAGGGTGGTTCTGTAACCTGCTTAAGTAGTGGGGATACTGCTCAACAGCACGCTCCAAGGGGACTGCAGGTTGGTGCTCATTCCCTCTACCCCTCCCAATAAGTAAGAAAAACAGTCCATATGCCCACCCGAGTCGGCAGTCGTACCGCTATCCGTAGGGAGTCCGGGCCCATGTGGTACTCACGGGTCGCTGCTGGTAACAGTCCCGCATGGCCTCTCGCTTCCGGACAGCTTGTCAAGTAAAGGTGCAGGTGATCCAACTTACGTCGATAGCCATCTATTCTTCCGGGTTAGTCAGGTGGGGGTGCTTGGACGGTTTTCTCTGGAGTCCTTCAGGTGCATCAAGGCGGTCTCTGGGGTTGGGGTCCGTGGTCCAGTGGCTCCAAGATCCAGTCTGGAACTGCAATAGGTGGCAGGTCTAGGTGTTGTAGGAAGCACAGTATTTCTTCAGGCCAGCGTGCCGCAATCCATTTGTTACGGTGCCGTACATGAATGCTGAATGGAAAGCCCCAATTGTAGGGGATATTCCGTTCTCGTAAGGCAGTCATGATAGGCCTAAGAGTTCTTCTCGCCTCAAGTGTGACTGGTGAGAGGTCATTAAACAGTGAGACCTCAGAGCCTTGGTACCGCCATGTGGCTTGCGCCCTGGCCTGCTTCATAATGCGTTCCTTGAATGGGAAGGAGTGGAGACAGCAAATATTATCTCTGGGATCCCCCTCTCTGAGCTTAGGTTTTAAGGCCCTGTGAGCACACTGAAAGCGGATTTCCGTGCGAGCATCTTCCCCCAGGATCAGGTGGAAAATCCCAGTCAGCAGCGCCTCTCTGTTTTCCTCCCTGTCCGGATGTTGGAGCAGCAGCTCCTGTTGTCTTGGTCCTCAACCTAGCGGCGCAGGGCTAATGGCATGCTGCCTTGCCACACATTGGCTGTGTCTGCTGCAGATGCTTGTTGCTGTGAGGTCTGCCCGAATGCAGTCTCCTTGAGCGTCCACATCTGACTGCAACTCTCTCACCGCCGAGGTGATTGATGCCGTGAGGGTGCTTGCCAGGGACTGTAGGTCCGATTTCATGACCATAGTAGCCACCAGCCACCTGATCTCTGCTCCTATATCCGTCAGCGTGGGCTGCTTCTGTTCCCAGCTGGTCGACACAGGAGACACGAGCGCCATCTTGGATCCATGCGCCTCGTGGTTAGGCCCCAGCAGGGTTTGAAGAAAGTCATCCATCTGGCCTGACAGTGACGCCGGGGGTGCAGCCCTGGGGGTCTGCTGGTGCTCTGGTCGCTTGGTGCACCCCATTCGGTAAGTGTAATCCTTGGCAAGTAGTGTATATTAGCTTGGTGGCAAGACGCTCGGACTTCAGACTACGCCCCCCCCTAAACAAGTTCCATTTACAGTCATTGTCAATTTACTCAATAACATAATGCTAAGCATGACTTTTAGTTTACTTTACTTTCTTTTTCCTCAACAAATATATGATATTATTTTGCGGTTAGTCTCAAATGTGCATGATGTCCACGGAGGATGTCTAGATATTGTCTCTAGACAATGCCCAGTTCCCACAGCTGTCACATTTAATGGTTGGAAGAAGTAATAAAACATAATGGTGGTAGCTCTGCTTTTTGTCAAGTTTTAACCAATCAGTAAAGACTGCAGTGAGCACTCTATTTAGAATAACATACCTGAGTTGAAGGGTGCAAGTGATTATGGGATACACAGAACAGCTAAACACACTTGAAATGTAACAGTTGAGCATTCATGCATATTCCCAGCATTCCACTTTATTACACCATATTGGAAGGCAACAATTTGGCCTGCAATCTGGCCTTTGACAAGTCTTCCCATAACACAGTGACTCTCCAATATATAGCAATTAAATAACTAATTATTATTACCATTACCATTTACATAGCACCAACAGATTCCGTAGCACTTTACAATATTATGAAAGGTGAGAATTTAAGTATAAATTGGACAATTACTAGAAAACTTACAGGAACGATAGGTTGAAGAGGACTCTGCTCAAACGAGCTTACAGTCTATAGGAGGTGGGATATAAAACACATTAGGACAGGAAAAAGCAATCAAATAAGGTGGGAGTGAAGCAGAGCTGGAGGAGAGAGTAGATTGCTGCCCTCTAGGAGAGAGCAAGAGACAGGTATGTAAGGTAGAGGTTACTCTGGGAGGCCTTAAGTTTTCCTAGGCAGGCTATTCCATAGGAAGGGAGACGTCCACGAGAAGCCATGCAAGCGTGAGTTGGCTGTACGGGTGTGATCAGTGGACAGGAGAAGGTCACGGGCAGAGCGGAGAGACCGAGAAGGGACATACCTATGGATCTGTGAAGAGTTATAAGAGGGGCTAGAATTGTTCAGTGCTTCATAGGTATGGATTAGCACTTTGAATTGACTCATATAGGATACAGGAAAGACTGACAGAGGGGTGAGATGTGAGAGGACTGACTAGAGAGGAAAATCAGTCTGGTTGCAGCATTCATTGCAGACTGTAGCCGGGCAATACGGCTTTTGGGAAGACCAATTAGGAGAAGGTGACAATAATCCATGTGGGAAATTACAGGAGCAAGGACAAGCTCTTTGGTAGCATCTTGTATAAGAAAGGGGCAGATGCAGGCTATGTTTTTAAGATGGAATCTACAGGATTTGGCAACATACTGGATGTGAGGCTCAAAGGTGAGACCAGAATCAAGAACCAGAGACAAGACAGCATGCTTGCAAGGATGGACTTATGTTGATACCACTAACTAAAAGGGAGAGCGAAAGAGGAGGATCAGTTACATGGAAACATAGAATGTGACGGCAAATAAGAACCGTTTGGCCAATCTAGTCTCCCTGGCCTTATCTTATAGTTAGGATAGCCTTATGCATATCCCATGCATGCTTAAACTCCTTTACTGTGTTAACCTCAACCACGTCAGCTGGAAGGCTATTCCATGCATCCACTACCCTCTCAGTAAAGTAATACTTCCGGATATTATTTTTAAACCTTTGTCCCTCTAATTTAAGACTATGTCCTCTTGTTGTGTTACTTTTTCTTCTTATAAACATAGTCTCCTCCTTTACTGTGTTGATTCCCTTTATGTATTTAAATGTTACTATCATATCCCCCGTCTCGTCTTTCCTCCAAGCTATACAAGTTAAAATCCTTTAACCTTTCCTTGTAAGTTTTAACCTGCAATCCATGAACCAGTTTAGTAGCCCTTCTCTGAACTCTCTCTAAAGTATCAATATCCTTCTGGAGATACGGTCTCCGGTACTGCATACAATACTCCAAGTGAGGTCTCACCAGTGTTCTGTACAATGGCATGAGCACTTCCCTCTTTTTACTGCTAATACCTCTCCCTATTCAACCAAGCATTCTGCTAGCATTTCCTGCTGCTCTATTACATTGTCTGCCTACCTGTAAGTCATCAGAAATAATCACCCCTAAATTCCTTTCCTCAGATGTTGAGGTTAGGACTCTATCAAATATTCTGTACTCTGCCCTTGTAGCCCCATGTAGCCAGGCGCAGCTAAGCGGAAAAAGGCCTTGACAGGGGTTAGGAGGCGGGCCTAGGAGGAAGTAAGCAAGGGAGTGGAGTTATGGGTAAGTAGGTTTGGTTATTTAAATGGGCAGCCATTTTAGGTAAGTCATTCTAACTTCCTACCTGGTTAAGTTTGTGTTCGCTCCTGTGGGCACAGATTTGGCTTGGTAGGGCTTTTCTTCTTTTGTCTCCCTGCAGGGCCGATGGACGAAGTGGAGCGGCTGCTGGAGGGGATCCGGTCGGCGGCGAGGCACCAGGGGGCTGACTGGCTGAAGGCCCAGCTAGGCCCGGCCCTGGCGGCGGCGGCGAACCAGGACGACGGAGGTGGACGGCCGGTTCGGGCCAGGAGGCCCCCGGAGCGGCTAAGCCCGGGTGTGGGACCCGGTGAAGACATCCCTGGTGGTCCGGGAGGCTCCGGTGCGGGCGGCAGCAGGCCCGGCAGCCGCGTGGTAGAGGCCCCGCCTCCCCGCGAGCGGCCGGGGCCTAGGACCAGTGCCCGGCGCCGGGGGGACGGTCAGGACGGGGCCGTCGCGGCTGCCGGGTCGGACGTGGCCGGGCGGTCCCCTGGAGGAGCGGGCAGCATGGAGGTGCGTGGAGGCGGAGGTCGGCGGGGCCGGGACCGGGAGGACGCGTGGCCGGTTCCTGGCCCCAAAGGCTAGTGCAGGGGGCTCTGGCTGGGGCCCCCTTGGCGGGATGAGTGAGGGGCGGAGGGCCCAAGTGGGGGGCGGGAAGGCCTCCCAGGGATCGCGGGTGATGGATGGGGTGGGCACAGGGGTCATAGGTGGGGGGAGTAGTGGTAGGGGAGGGGGGGCTGTGGGTGGTGAGGGACTGCTGGGCTCACCTGGTGGGGGGAGGGGGGCCTCCTTGGGTTCTGGGGCTAGGTCGGTGCTGGTAGGGTCGGGTAGGCCTGGTTTAGGGGTTGGGGGGGCTTCCTCAGCCAATCTAGTTGAGGGGGGTCCGGGTGCCCTTAGTCTGGGAGCCAGTTCCTGTGGGGGGTCGGGCTCTCGCTGGAAGGGGGTGCAGGGTAGTAGGAGGGGGGTCCGGTTCAGGGTCCTGTAGTGGTAGTCCCTCTCCGGTTCGGGACGTAGAGCCCAGGGGGAGGAGGGGGAGGTCCCGGCAGCGCCGCTCCAGGTCAGGGAGCTCAGGAGAGAGCGGGGCTAGCGTTCCCAGGGGTGGTCGGCGGGGACGTTTGCCTGGAGGGGACAGGAGGAGCCGTAGCCCTAGGGGCTCCCGCGCGCAGCGTGCGCGGGGGGCGCAGCGGGAGGCCTTGGCAATGGGCAGGCGCTCCCAGGGTCGGGACGGGGGGGAAGCGAGTACTCAGTGCACCCTACCCAGGACTTCTTCTCCTCTTTCCAGGTCGCGGAGCCGTTCCCTATCGACACGGGCAAGGCACCGGTTTGGCTCCCCGGTTGGCGAGGTATCGGCGGGAGTCGCTCTCCCTGGACATTGGGCAGTCGACGACGCAGCCCCTGCCGCTTCAGTGTCAGGGGGCTTGGCCGGTGAGTCTTGTGGGTCACTACACTCCAGCTCCTTAGTTAGCACACTTCAGGCACTGCTCCACTCGCTGGGGGCGGGGGGTGACACGGGGGGCGGCGTTGGTCGGGTCTGGGCTCCGGGGACTGAGGTCCCTGGTCCTAGTGGGGTTTCCGTGGGGCTTAGCTCGGGCGGGGACGTGGGGGTGGCACCCGAGGCGATGGCGGCCGGGAGTGACAGGGCGGAACTGGCCGGGGGTATTCCGGACGCGGCGAGGCAGCACGCGTACGTCTCGTTTGCGGGCCCCCTGGGGGTTCATCTGAAACAGGACGTGAAAGAGAAGCTCTGGAAAGGTGAGTTCTGCGAGATCTTCTCCCTGCTCCCCTTGGAGGACTTTATTGACCTCAAGGAGGAGGATAAAAAGGATGAAAAGAAGGAGGAGGAGGAGAAGAGGAAGCGGTATCGCAAGATTCCGAAATCCTTTGGTAACTGGTTAAGGGCGTTTTGCGTGCTGGCCAGCGTGCTCGGTGAAAAATCGCCGGGATTATGCTCGTCCCTGTTTTGCTACTTGGACGGCATTAGGGAAGCATACCGCACCTATGGGGGGGCTGGCATGGTGGCGGTACGATGAACAGTTTAGGCAGCGACTGGCGGCTAACCCGGGTATGAGGTGGGATCAGATGGATCTGCCTCTCTGGATGAAGCTAATGATGGCTCAGAAGGCGCAGCCCTTTCAAAACTCGGCCGGCGCGAAGGGGCAGTCCGCCTCGTCGGCCGCTTTACAAAAGGGCTTCTGCTGGCTCTACAATGAGGGCCAGTGCAAATGGGGAAACGCGTGTCGATTTAAGCATGAGTGCTCCGGTTGCGGGGGTGCTCATGGGCTCAATCGCTGTTTCAAAAAAGGGAAGGCTGGAACCGCCGGAGCGGCTGCCGGGGCCGGAGGAAGTGCTTCCCCTGCCCCGGGGCTTCACGCCGGTGAGGCTAGACGTGATGGAGCCATGGCTAAGCAGCTACGGTAACAGGGCTGATGCCTCGGTACTTCGGGAAGGCTTCAGGCGGGGTTTCTTTATCCCCTTCCGGGAGCAGGGGGGATCGGGGGGGTTGCGCAACCTGAAGTCGGTGGCGGATTTCCCATTGGTGGTACGTGAAAAACTAGACAAGGAGGTTTCGCTAGGGCGGATGGTGGGCCCGTTTACGGTACCCCCATTGGAGGCCCTCCGGGTTTCCCCTCTCGGAGTGGTGCCAAAGAAGGAGTCGGTGAATGACGGTATTGATAAGGACTTATGCTCGGTCTCGTATGCATCATTCGACCGGGCGGTCGAGCTGGTTAAACGGGCCGGGCATGGGGCGCTTATGGCTAAAGTGGATGTTGAGGCGGCGTTTCGGCTGCTGCCGGTCCACCCGGACTGTCACCACCTGCTGGGATGTTTTTTTGAGGGGAAATATTTCGTGGACTTGTGCCTCCCTATGGGCTGTTCCATCTCATGCTCCTATTTCGAGAAATTTAGTACTTTTCTCGAATGGGTGGTGCGGGTGGAGGCAGGGAACCGTTCGGTGGTGCACTACTTGGACGATTTCTTTTGCGTGGGGCCGGCTGCCTCCTCGGCATGCCAGCAACTGCTTAGGACCATGGAATGGGTGGCGGGCCACTTCGGGGTGCCGCTGGCAGCGGATAAGACGGAGGGCCCAGCGACGTGCCTTAGTTTCCTGGGGTTGGAAATAGATTCGATCTTGGGTGAGTGCCGGCTGCCTCGGGACAAGCTGGAGGGGCTCAGGGAGGCAGTAGCTGCGGTGACCGTTGCGCGCAAGGTTACGCTGCGGCAACTGCAGTCGCTGATAGGGATGCTGAACTTTGCATGCCGTGTAATTCCTATGGGGAGGGTTTTCAGCCGCAGCCTGGCGGCTGCTACGGCAGGAGTTCGATCCCCACACCATTTCATACGGGTGTCGGCAGCCATGAGGGCTGATTTGGGCGTTTGGGATACCTTCCTGCAGGATTTCAACGGGACGGTGTTTTTCCGGCGGGCGGGTAAGTCGGCGGCGGAGCTGGAGCTCTTCACGGATGCGTCGGGTAGTGTGGGCTTCGGGCCTACTTCGGCGGGAGATGGTGCGCGGAGCGGTGGCCGGAGGCATGGGGGTCCAGCCCAGTCATGCGCAACCTGGCTTTTCTGGAATTATTCCCGTTGGTCGTTGCAATGGCACTGTGGGGCGAGGGGCTCCGGGATCAGAAAGTGGTCTTTTTCTCGGACAACATGGCGGTGGTGCATGCGGTGAATAATCAATCGGCTGCCTCTAAGCCGGTGGTTAGGTTGCTGCGGCGCTTTGTGTTGATGTGTATGTCACGGAATGTTGTGTTTCGCGCGCGTCATGTCCCTGGGTACCTGAATGAGGTGGCTGACGCTCTGTCTCGTTTTCAGTGGTCCCGATTTTGGTCGATGGCGCCAGGAGCATTGAAGGAGGGGCAGGCATGCCCGGACGAGATATGGCAGCTGGGAGCGTCCTGCTTGGGGACTTGTGAAGGCTTCACTGGCACCGGCCACATGGGCCTCCTACAGTAAGGTCTGGGACTCTTGGGAACGGTCATTAGACGGGTTGGAGCATGGCTTATGTGGGGATGCGCTGCGGGACGCTTTTCTGTGGTACACCTGTCAATTGCTGGCGAAGGGGGCATCCCCGGCGGTGGTCGACAGGTCCATGGCGGCAATGGCTTTCTGGTTCCGGTGGCGCGGGACGGAGGATCTGACCAAGACCTTCCTAGTACGGCAGGCGTTAAAGGGTTATCGAAAGGGCCGCAGGTCATGTGACTCTAGGTGCCCGGTGTCTGTACGGGTGTTGGGGGATCTGGTGGGTCGGTTGCCGGAAATTTGTTTCAACGGGTTTGAGGTCTCTTTGTTCAGAGCGGCTTTTCTCTTGGGATTCTTCGGGGCGTTCCGCGTGGGGGAGCTAGTGAGTGCCAGAAGGGTTTTGCCCGGGGGTCTGCAGGCCTCAGGGGTTCGTGTTTTGGAGGGTAAGGTGGTTGTGCATCTTGGTAGATCTAAGACAGACGTCCGCGGTGTGGGTCGGGACGTTACGCTATGGGCCCTGCCGGGCGCAGTATTGTGCCCGGTGGCTGCAGTGGCGGAGTACATGGCTCGGAGGCCGGCGGTAGGGGGTTCCTTCTTGGTACATGCGGATGGTTCTTCCCTGTCCCGATTTCAGTTTACAAAGGTTTTTCGGTCCGGACTAGGTAAGTTGGGGCTTCCGGCCGGACTTTTTGGTACTCACTCCTTTCGCATTGGGGCAGCCACGGAGGCCGCACGGTCCGGGACTAGGAGATGAGGTCGTGAAGCGCATAGGGAGATGGGAGTCGGTGCGGTTCCGCTCATATGTACGGTTGGGCTTATTGGAATAAAAAAAAAAAAAAGGTGTACATGTATGTGTATGTATATGTTTATATATATATGTATATGTATAGATATGGTACGGGGGAGGGCATGGACGGGGGAGTCCTCTTTTGCCTTTCCCTCACGTTTGTTTTCTTCTTCTCCCCAGGACGGGTTGCTTGGATTGTGGGACATTCTTTTGTCTTCTGGGCCGAGAGGAGGGCCGCAGCTCGAATGCAGGGCCAGCAGCTGGGCTTTCCGAAGGACCAGTTGACAGTCCGATGGTTTGGGTACAGGGGATTTTGCTGGGGGGAGGTTTGTGGGGCAATGTTTAGGATGGTGGCGGGCGGGAAGACGCCGGACATGGTGGTCCTTCATGCTGGGGGTAACGACTTGGGCCTCACGCCGCAACGACGGTTGGTAAAGTGGATGAAGCAGGACATCAACAAACTGAGGGATCTGCTTCCGGGGGTTATGTTAGTGTGGTCGGAGATTGTCCCAAGGCGTCGATGGCGGCACGCGCGGGATCTGGTGGCGATTGATCAATGCAGGAAGAAAGTGAACAGCTTGATGGCAAGCTTTGTTAGGAAGGTGGGAGGCGTGGTGGTACGGCACAGCGAGTTGGAAGAGGGGTTGCCGGGGTACTACCGCTCGGACGGGGTTCATCTTTCGGAGGTGGGTTGGGATCTGCTCAACTTGGGTTGGCAGGTTGGTATGCAGCGGGCGCTGTTTCTTCGGGGTGGCGGAGCTCAGACGGCTTAAGGGGTCAAGGTCTGAGCTTATGGCGGGATGGGGAGCTGAAGGAGAGGAAATAGGCTCCCCAGGATGAACGTAATGGAAAACAAACAAGTGGTGGTCATCGGTGGTTGATAGGTTTCGAGTCCTGTCGGTGGCTCAGAACCTGGTGGGGTAGGGGTATCCGGGTATACCCCTGCCGTGGCTAATGGATGGTTGGCACTTTACATCGATTGGAATAATGTTGATGTATGTTATATATATATATATATATATGTTTATTTATATGGGGGTCATTGCCCTTTATATGTTAATGGAAGGAATAGGATGCGAGGGCGGAGTATGGGGGGCAATGACCCATGTTTACTTGTTAAGTTATTATTATTGTTATTATTATTGTTTGCTTAATAAAGCTGTGGACATATTTCCCCATATCCCTTAGTGTCCGTGCGTTATTGGGTTAGGTTATGGGGTTGTTGTCCTGGATTCCGACTGCCCAAAATGGCGACTATACACCTGTCATGTAGCCCCATGTAGCCAGGCGCAGCTAAGCGGAAAAAGGCCTTGACAGGGGTTAGGAGGCGGGCCTAGGAGGAAGTAAGCAAGGGAGTGGGTTATGGGTAAGTAGGTTTGGTTATTTAAATGGGCAGCCATTTTAGGTAAGTCATTCTAACTTCCTACCTGGTTAAGTTTGTCCCTCCCACCCTCCCTGTTTTGTTAGGTGTGGTTTTGTCCCGTTTTTTCACAGCGGCGGGATGGGGAGCTGAAGGAGAGGAAATAGGCTCCCCAGGATGAACGTAATGGAAAACAAACAAGTGGTGGTCATCGGTGGTTGATAGGTTTCGAGTCCTGTCGGTGGCTCAGAACCTGGTGGGGTAGGGGTATCCGGGTATACCCCTGCCGTGGCTAATGGATGGTTGGCACTTTACATCGATTGGAATAATGTTGATGTATGTTATATATATATGTTTATTTATATGGGGGTCATTGCCCTTTATATGTTAATGGAAGGAATAGGATGCGAGGGCGGAGTATGGGGGGCAATGACCCATGTTTACTTGTTAAGTTATTATTATTATTATTATTATTATTGTTATTATTATTGTTTGCTTAATAAAGCTGTGGACATATTTCCCCATATCCCTTAGTGTCCGTGCGTTATTGGGTTAGGTGATGGGGTTGTTGTCCTGGATTCCGACTGCCCAAAATGGCGACTATACACCTGTCATGGGTTTTTACGTTCAAGATGCATTATCTTGCACTTATCCACATTAAAATGTCAGTTGCCACAGCTCTGACCATTTTCCTGTTACATATCTTAGTATCATCAGCAAAAAGACATACCTTAACATCAAGACCTTCTGCAATATCTCTAATAAAAACATTGAAGTATTAGGAGGAGGAAAGACAAGAAGCTCAGTGTAGCGGAGAGCTGGTCTTTCACAGGTTAACTCCACTAAAGATTCCAGTGAGGCTCAAGAACAAGTAATAAAATCCCATAGAACAATATTCACAGCAAGCAAGGTAATCCACGAATTTCCCCATACAGAGCCCAATGACTGGACGACACACAGCATCAGGAGCAGAACTGAACTTTTAATCACTCAACCTTCTTTTAAAGCTTTCTCCCATGCAAGGGAGGGATTCACATTAATTATACAGTACACCAAACATACATGAGTTGCCACCCACACATCCCTCCCTTAGTATGACTCATAATCCCATTATATAGGACACAGTTCCCCTGGTACCCTTTTAAATGTTACATCCCCTGGTAGCCCTGATCTGGGTGAGTGACATTCAAAAATCATCCAGATCGGACAAGGGGTTCGGGAAATTCCTGGAGGTAGTATAAAGACCGACTGTGCTGGAGGTAACAGCGGAAATGGGTTCCATACGTTTTGGCCCTGCAGTCGGTCACAGAAGAAGGGAATAAAATGCACAAACGGCTTGGGTTATGGGGACTGGGGAGGATTCGGGTAAATCCCCTTGTTCGCGGGGTTCTTTCTACCGAACGGTGAGCCATTCGGTAGTTTCTACACGAATTGAGGGCAGTGTGGAGGTCTCAGCAGTGTTTGCCTAGCCGAGTGTCCGATTTGGGTTCCAGACACTCGACGGCAAAACACCGCTGTTTGGGAGTTTAAGATGGCCACGTGT